TGTTTTGTTGGCGTACGTTGTAATGATCTCATGATCTCATGTTTTTATGTTTTTGTTTTTGTCTGTAAAAATAAAATTTCACTACATCCTTTCGCACGTCGAAATGAAAGAGAAGGGAGCGAGAGGCCCTCCCTAAAGTGTCCCGGTTTTGCAACAGAGATATCTGGCAGCCCTATAATTAGGGGGTCTTTCACTCGGTTTACATAACTTATTTACTTACTTTTTTATATTTTTAAACCAGAAATACCTAATAACAAAAAAATATATAAATATATTTTGTTTTAAATGACAGCAAACGCCAAATGCCATAAAATTTATTTTAAAAAGTGTTATACTATATACGTACCATCAATACCCTTGTGATCGGTGAAATAGTTTCCGAGATATTATAAATATAAGAAATGTAAAAGTTTAACTTTAACCTCTTTAATTGGCTTTGGTTTTTGTTTGTGCCACATAATCATGGCATGGTTGAAATCAGCATGTATAGCTCTATCGAGTCACATTTTGTCTGTTTTCTAACCGACTTCCAAAAAAAATGGAGACTATCAGTTCGTCGGAATATTTTTTTTATATTTATTTTTATTTTTTATGTTAATTTTTTTTGCATCGGAAAGGTAGGTGGTCCCATCTGGTTTAGATTCGATCATTTGATCATGAAATATTTATATATATATATATTTTTTTTTTTAATATGAGAATTGAAGTCGGTTTTGTATTTTGTTTAAAAAGTACTTGTTACCTAAACGGTTGTTATTATACACCACGACTACTTCGGACTATTTCTGTCTAAACCCTGGAGTACGGGAACTGCCTAAATGTGAATAAGAAAAAGTAAACAAACAAATGTCAAATTAAACTCTGAGTTTATTAAACACCCCAATGAGAACACTTGACAGTTGTTAAAGAGTTGCTGTGAGTTAATATTTCAACGTGGATTGCTTTTAGTTGTTTGCGTACTCCTTATTTCTATAACTAATTTGCCAAGCTTGGAAAGAAATAAACAGTAACTCCAAGCATTTTTCGTTTTATTAAGATCCGTTAAATAAGTTGCTTAATTTTTCTTAGTTTTTAATTAATTAATTTGCATTCGCGAATGTGAAAAATGTGACATTCGAAACATCTCTAATTGATACCCATATTAAATTAAATTAAATTAAAATTTTCAAAGAGGTGGCGACCTTCTACAAAAATATCTTCGGCTGTAAGCCTTCTTAAACCTCTTCCTTTTCTATATTGCAATATTTACTTTATCTTACTAATTTAGGTTAATTTAGGTTGAAGTGGCTGACAGTGACCCCACTAGCACACCTAGGCCCTTAAGATTTTGGGCCCGTTGTGGTACCACTCGGGACTTAGAACTCTCCTACTCAAACCATCGTGTGGAGTATGCGAAACTCAATAGTTGCCGTATTCCTACTTCGGCTATGTTGGTTAGACCTTCGAAAAATTCTGAGCCCAAAAACTTTCATCTTCTGAAGGGACATTCGCATAGCAGATGTCGTAAGGTTTCCGGCACTTTCTCATCTCTGCAGCTTCTGCAGAAGTCGTTATGGGGGATCCCGAGCCTCTCCGCGTGCCTTCCGATGGCAACATGGCCTGTTAGCAGATCTATGGCTGTAGCTAAGTCCCCTCTGCTCAGCATGAGGAGACATTTCGACCGCTTCTCGTTCCATTTTGGCCACATAAGCTTTGTGTTGCTGAAAGTTGTGAGACTATCCCACCTGTCCTTTGCTTGTTTAAAAGATAGATCCCTTAGTATGAGCTTGCAGGTAGCGAGCAGCATGCCTAAACCCTTCCAGGATTGCGAAAGTGGAAACGATGTGCCCTCTCTTGCAAGTTCGTCTGCCTTCTCGTTGCCTAGTATGTTTTGGTGCCCGGCGCCCATACCAAGTGAAGAGCGTATTGCTCAGCCATCTCGTTCAGAGATCTGCGGTAGTCCGCTACGGTTCTTGAACTGCATGTGACCGATTCAAGCGCTTTGAGTGCCGCCTGACTGTCTGAGTAGATGAAGATATTGGGCCTCATGCATAAAAATTGAGTTTAAGCTCCGACTCGATTTTCAGTACAAATTCTTGGGCTTGAGCTCACCCCTTCAGTGCAAAAATTGAGTCTGAGCTTAAGCTCACTTTTTATGCATAAGGCCCATTGTTACACATTGCTTCTCCTGTATGGCAGCGAACCATGCATACATCACTTTCAGATAGGACTCATAGTTTCTGACAAATCAATTAATCATTCCAGTTTTTATTTTTTAATGAATAAAATCAAACTTTAATAGAAGAAAAATTAAAATAATAACAGGTTCTGGACCAAATTTTTGCTTTTGTACTAAAGCCTGTTCTGTTACAAAAAAAATTAAGTTACTGATGAAGAAAATCGATGGATAAATAAGAAATAATGAGTGGTCAAATGAAAATGCACAAAGATGTTTTGTATGAACTTTCTTTCCTGCTCGGCACAGAACCTGTTACTTTTAAAAATTTTTCTTCTCTTAAAGTTTGATTTTTTTAATTTTTTCATTAAAAATTAAAAATGCTGGAATGATTATTTAATTTGTCAGGAACTATAAGCCCTATTGAAAAGTGATGTATATACGGTTTATGGAGCTTTCATTTGCCGTATTTTATATTAAGATTTTTAAATTGGTTCGTAAGATCTACGTGATTAAAGGAAGCAATTTTTGCTTTAGGCTGAATAACGGCAAATTGAAAGTATCTCGAAAACTTATGCATAGAAAAAAAATTAACTCGATTTTCGGAATCACCGAGCAATTGTACATAGGAATTGGATAGTGGCATCCATAGAACAGTTTTGCTGTAAACCAGTGTAATCAGCATTCTAATGTATTCAAAATGTCCCAAAAATTTCATATTAAATCACATTCATTTCTCGATACTAAGTAATGCAAAATTGAATGCCCCACTTTTCTTGGGACTTCGCCCTGGGGAAAAAATGCATTTTCGAATGTGAAAAGGGTTATTTTACTGATTACTTTTTCGATTACTATACTTTACATTTTCCCACTGGGATAGGTTATCCAAAGCGGAGACCCAGAATAATAATTACTTCATGGTGGAGTTTTAAAAAAGTCATCCAAATTTTCATAAGAATTATAAAAGTTCTTTGATAATACTTATGTGGGAGAAAATTTGTTCAAGTCATCGATAACTATTATTTTAAGACTTGTATAATAGAAATCTTTTCATAATAATTATCAGCGAGATAAATATTTTTAAGTCTACAAAGACTTTTATTTTGAGACTTATATTATAAAAGTCTTACCATAATAATTATCATTGAGATAAATATCTTTAAGTTTTCAAAGACTTTTATTTTGAGACTTATGTTATAAAAGTCTTTTGATAATAATTATGAGTGGGAAAAAATTTTGTATATAGTCCCGAACGGGTGCGAAACCAAGCCCCAACTGATCCCAAACTACACCCCGTCTAGGCCGGAACTGGTCCCCACCTAGCCCCGAACTGGCCCCAACTAATCCTAAAATGCTCCTGAACAAGTCCCGTCTTTTAAGACTTAAAAAAATTGTTCGCGCTCATAATTATTATGAAAAGACTTTTTTAATGTTAGTCTTAAAATAAAAGTCTTTGAAGACTTAAAAATATTTATCTCAATGATAATTATTATAAAAAAACTTTTATATTATAAGTCTTAAATAAAAGTCTTTGAAGACTTAAAAATATTTATCTCTCTGATAATTATTATGAGAGGACTTTTGTAATATAAGTCCTTGAATAATAATTATAGATGACTCGAAAAATATGCATCTTAATATAATGATTATTGATTGACTTTTATTCTTTTCTCTTATAATAGTTATGTCTCTGATCCAAATGTTAATCAAGTCAAACCAATAACGCAAAATTGCACATTCATATTTCTGTCATAGGCGTGACGATATGTATTTACATCACATTTATTAATTTTTTATACACCTGTTCTACATATTTTTGCAGTAAGAAAATATTTCTTACATATATGTATGTCATATTTCCTGTTAATCTATACATATTATAAAGGAAAGTCGAGATTCTTTGTACGCGGTAATCTCGAAAACTACTGAAAGGATTTTGACGAGATTTTCTCTAATATATTCAGTATCGATAGGAGAGTGACCTTTTTAATTTAGAATTTTAATAGGGTTGCCACCTGTTAAGAAAATTACTATATTCAATTCTAATAAGCGTAGGCGTCAGTTCTGCACCGTCACTGTCAAATGAAAAGACTTAGCCTCTGGATGTGTAATAATGTATTACTTTTCTGAGTACGGTTGCCGCCTGTTTAAAAACTATAAGATAAAAAAATAAAATACCAAATGAAAGTGCATGGCCTTTGCATGAGCAAAAACTTTAAGTTTTTTGAGTAGGGATGCCACCTATTTAAAATTACTATCTTCTATACACAGTATAAAGGAAAGGCGAGATATTTTAACCACGCTACTGGACGGATTTAGACAAGATTTTTATTTATACTTATTTATGTATATAATAAACGAAGTACATGATGACATATGATTTCTTTCTCCAAATACGTAAATGTACATACATACATATGCATACATTCAGCGCGTGGCGAAGCCTCGCGCATTCGTGGCCGGCTAGTATTCTTCTATTTGAATGAAAACAAGTCATTAAAATGTAAGTTTAGTACTCCACTCTACTTACTAAACTAAATTTATATATTGCTATTAGTTAAGATTGTCTTTTCAAATGGAACCATTTATTTTACACATACATATGTATTAATAAGGATTAATCAATCACTATGTGCATTAAAATTTAGAAATAAAATATTCGAAAGATTTTTTTATGTGTCAGATATAAAAATAAGGGAATCTTGTATTTTATGTAGATACTTTTTGCGATATAAACAAAATGCTGATGATATCCCCATGGAGTTGCTAAAATTAGTTTAAGTCATGTGGTAAAATTAGCAAACAAACGAGTACTACAGTATAATTTTACTTTATAATTTTAGCCTTAGCCCATCCTTTGCGTTTTGCACTTTCGCTGAACATCTTTTGGACAAACATTTTCACAATAACATCGCGCTGGAAATTCCATCGTTAGACTATAAAACGTGTAATAAGAAGTTAAGTAACATTCTGTATGTAGACACCTTCTTTCCATTGGAGCAACGGGTGAGTAAGAATAAGAACATATCGCACGTTAAATAATATAGAGATGTAATTCAAAATTTACGTTTTTGAGGATTTCAACATACAATTAATTAGCTTGTTAAGGAGAATAGGCTCAGCCAAACAGATGACTAAACTTCCCAACTTTACAACTACCTTTTGGTATACCAATTGTATGAACTGAGCAAACTTTGATTGCGTTTTCCCACAAAATTTAAATTTTGAAATAATTCTGTATATTATTAAACGTACAATAAGTACATTGTACATGCATAAATACATATATGTATATCTATGCACAACCAATGAGACACAAGACATCGCTTTTTTTAGTGTATGCTCTGGACGTGGTTTCTTTCCCTCGAAATGCAGTTCTTTATTGTAGCGTGCTTGGTTTTACTTCTTGCCGAGATTCACTCGGTATATGCTGTAATTATTGGAATGGCTATGTTTTTCATCTCCATTCTAGCTTCTGTAGTTTGGGAATCGGATCCGACGACCAACGAAGAATTTTCAATTTCGTAGGTTCAACCATAAATACATACATACATACATGCATATGTATTTATTTACATTCTTACATAACTCTTAACTCTATTTAATACTTTTATTCTTTTAAAAACTGCATTCGTGTCGCACCTAAGGAAATATATGCAATATGAATTGGCTCAGTTCCATTTGGTTTTCGATAACCTCTGTCTGCGCATTTCACCATATGTTTTGGGAGTGTGTGTCGGATATATCCTGCAACGGACGCAATCCAACATGAAAATAAACACTGGAATATTAGTTTGTGGTAATAGCAATGAGAAATATTTGTCTTCTTTCCACTACAAGACTAATTCTTTTAAAAAGGGTGGCTTGCTTATTTGCTAATATTCGGCTTGTTTATATTTGCTTACAAATATGGCTATGAAATTCTACTTCCCAACGCAGCCGGTGGACGCTGGTGTCAGGCGATACTCTTCACCATATCCCATGCTATGTGGTCTTTGATGCTGCTCTGGACTACTCTCACAGCTGAAACTCACCAGACTTGGAAACCATTGAATTTTCTACTAGCTGGGAGATACTTGAATGCTTTGGAGCGCTTATCGCCGGTCTGCCTTCTTGGAGCTCCAATTATAATTCGTCTGCTCGTATTCACAACCGATGCACCCATTTACAATTCTATAGGACAAACCGTAAGTTGGATATTGTAGTCATTTGGATAGTACTCTAAAAGGTAATTAATTTTCAGTTTTCCCTATTTGTTGGATGTTTGCTAATGACTTATCTAAGCGCGCTTTTGCTTCATTTTTTATTTGATGGGCCACTCTGCGCCATTCTCCAGGAGACTTTATTTAAATAGTACGAAAATTTAGGGCCAATTTCCGATGCCCTATTTAAGTAGAGATTGTTGATTAACTTCAAAAATTCATTTTCAGATCGTATATTTAAACTATATTTAAACTGCACTTAAATGCCCAATATTGGCTATTTAAATATGGAAAATGCAACCTTGCTCCCTCCCAAGAAACAGCTGATTACTCCCAGAAAAATATAAAAATACATAAACTAACGAAAATAATTTTATAAATATTTAATTTGCAAAATGGATTCAAGTGATCAAAGCGATACGGAGTGTGAAATTTTAGAGCGCGTGATAATAGCCCGACGTACACGGACTATAAGAGATGCGCCTAGTCGTTTCGGAAACTTCGATGATAAGAACTTCCGAGACAGGTTTCGAATAAGTAAAGCGGCAGCATGGATGGTGCTACGGATGATAGGGGAGCAAATACAACATAAAATAACATGGTAAGCCAGATTTAAAAAAGTTGTGTGCTGCTTCTAATTTAATTTTATTCAAGGAATAGTGCTCTAACCCCCGAGGAAATGCTTCTGCTGAATTTGCGGTTTTATGCCACGGGCTGCATGCAAAGGACCGGAGGGGACTTAATGGGAGTTTCTCCCAGTACTGCCTCCCGAGTAATAAGATTGGTTTCTCACCAAATAGCTCTGAGGCGAGAAGAGTTCATTGCGTTTCCCCCAACTGCAGAAGGGCAAAGGCAGGTGCAACAAAAATTTTATTTGATGGCCAGATTTCCGCGCGTACTTGCGGCTTTGGACTGCACACACGTAAAAATAATATCCCCAGGTTAGAGCAAGAAGTTAAAAACAAATATAAAAATGTCAGTATATATTTACATTTATGCATAAATATATATGTAATTTTTATAGAAGGTAATGATGCAGAGTTATATCGCAACAGAAAAGGGTTTTTCTCATATAACGTTCAGACGTTATGTGACAGCGACTTGAATATATTAGATATAGTAGCTCGATGGCCTGGTTCCACACACGATGCCACAATCTTGCGAAATTCGCACATCTACAGTCGCTTTGAAGATGGCCAATTTGGTAGTTGCAGATAGCGGTTATCCGTGTAATCAGTGGATAATGACTCCGTTATCCAACGTTCGTACTCCTTCAGAATCGCTATACAATGAATCGCGAATTCGAACGAGGAACTATGTGGAACGGTCTTATGGCGTGTGGAAACGAAGGTTTCCTGTTCTTTCGCTGGGTATTAGGCTGAATACCAAGCGGGTAGAAAGTTTTATTGTGGCAACAGCAGTTTTGCACAACATCTGCAATCAAATAAATGAAATAAGTGCTCCACCTATTTCAGCAGAAATCCGCGATCATATTCAAGATGTTTTACACATGCCATCCGTTTCCATTACCCATACCAAGAGCAACATTAGAAGAGAATTAGTTAATAGTTATTTCCAAAATTTGTAAATACACCGACTCACATACATATCGTTACCTTAATATAGAAAGGCCCTATCTCACAATGTCGCTGAAATACAAAAAGCCGTAACTAAGCAAAAATCCGAAATGCCCGCTTCGATTGATTATAATGTATTTCATCGAATTATGTGTCCCCAAACCATTTTAAGAAATAAAAAATTTTAGTCAGTTACGGCTTTTTTGCATTTCAGCGACTGTATGAGTTGGGGCCTTTCTATATTAAGGTAACGATATGTAGGTATGCAACCAGTGTTTTTGTAATATTCATAATATTTTTCATGTTAAATCTTTTTCGTTAATTTGTTATATAAATATGGTTCACATAATAACAAAAACAAGTCCAAGTTCCAGGCTTTGTACGAAATTTAGAAAATGGTCAAAAATCACATAGCCTTTTATGGTCTTTGTTATTATATGAACCATATTTATATAACAAATTAGCGAAAAAGATTTAACATGAAAAATACTATGAATATTAAAAACAACCCTGTGTATATAATTCTGTGACTATGTGCACGTACACCTCGATTCACTTGGACAGGCAATATTTTCTTGGCGGCCCGATGCTATATCTGGCCTTTTAGCCCTCGGAGAAGCTTCATTTTAATCTCATGAAGAAATACCATATTCGACGAATACTTGAGTATTTCTTTTTAATTCCGCTTTTTATTAACCTACATGAAAAATCCATGCGTACCAAAATGCGTAAATACAAAGCCTCAGTATCTTTTATTATTAAAGTATTGCAGATTGAAATGTGCAGCTTGCGCAACCTTACTTGCAACTAGCAATCAGGAGTGGTTGCGAATATTGGACAGTTCCATCTGCTGTGCCACAAGTACACATAGCATCCAGGTGTGCAAAGCTAACTTATTAACTTTGTACTTAAAATCTTTCAAATCAGTCAGGTCGTATCCTTGTGTTAAAACCACTGAATAAAAATAAGCAAATTTTTCATGTGTTGATAAAAAGCGGTACAATAATCCAAGTAATCAAGGTATTTTCTTAGAAATTAATTGTTCTTCAAAATTATATTAAAATGAAGCTTCTCCGATGCCCTCAAGTCCAAATATAAGCTCGCATCTTGAAGAAACAAAATGCTCTTATTAAAGTGAACTGGTGTGTATCCATGGTTTCTTCATTGTCGAAAAGAAAAAAAAACAAAGAAAAAGTTAAATATAAAAAAATGAAATAAAAACAAAGACATTTTAAAACAAACACTTAACTTTTAATAAAAAAAGGAAGTTAGTTCCACGTTAGGTACAATGCAGTAAATTCAGTTTGCAAATATTTCTAACATTTGCATAAGGCACATTAGAAACGATAATATAATTTCATAAAGTAAAGAACAAAAGGACTAAAATAGAAAGTGGATTTGACGTTTCTTCTATTGGCCACAAAAAAAACTCAAAGAATTCATGAACAAATATCTCGATTTAAAAGCTAACCTCGCTAACTAACAGCTAGCGAAAAGCGAGCCCTTTATGGGCCCGGTGCACAGTGGTCAATAAATGGGATTTAATGTTCATAATTCACTGGAGCCTTCATTTCTCAACCGATTTGATTAGACTAGACGCGAACTCTTAGCGACTTGCAACTTGCACGTTATTATACTAAAATTTAGTAAACTATAAAACTGCATACCCAAAATTTTTATAAAAACTAAAAACAAAAAAAAATACTTTTGGTAGCATTTTTTATAACATTTCAAATTATTACTTTTTAATTTATTTTTTGTTTTAGGAGAACCCTAAAATTTTTTTAACTAGTTTTTATTATGAAACTTTTATTAGCTGGAACAGGAGAATCGGTCTTCTTCAAAATTGGCGCAATTTATGCACTTTGCACTAAAAAATTTAATACAAACAACTTGCAAATTTTATTAGCTTTCATTTAAAAAAATAATTAATCAAATCGGTTGAGAAATGAAGGCTCCAGTGAATTATGAACATTAAATTCCATTTATTGACCACTGTGCGGTGGTAGCCAATACCAAAATTCTAAATCCAATATACCTGCATTACGATAACGATTGCGTCGTCGATATACAGTGACTTACATAAATATTTTGCATTGACTTTTGTTTTCGGTATTCGATATTCTCCAAATTACCTGTTTTAATAAAAAATTACATGAAAAGCATTTCGAATATCGATGTTGTACAATGGCCTATGTTTTATTACAAAAATTACCATGAAAAACATTTCGAATATCCAAAACATAAGTCAATGTAATCACCGTATGTACATATGCATTTGTGCACAAAATAATAGGAATGGGATATTATGACCAGTTTTGACTATTTGTATTTATTTAGTGTTTATTTTTTATAAAAGTTTAGCTGGTTATACAATAAACACCATATAAATTCACATTTAAAATTACTTATGTACAAAAAGCTTTTAAGCAGAATTTGGTCTGATGAATACATGCCCGAAGAATGGAATCTCAGTGTACTTTGCCCAATCCACAAGAAGGGAGATCCCGCCGTTTGCGCCAATTATCGCGGAATAAGCCTTCTTAATATTGTATACGAAGCACGAAGAGGAGCTGCCTGTACGACGCCATGTCCAAATTTGGGATCCCCGCAAAACTAATACGGCTATGTAGAGTGACGTTGAGCACAACCTCTCAAAGCTAAAGAGGTTGGTCTAGCGGTGAACGAGGGAAAGACAAAGTACCTCCTGGCAACATATAAACAGTCCACGCGCTACGGGACACACGTCACTGTTGGCAGATATAACTTTGAAGTAGTGAAGGACTTTGTCTACCTAGGATCCAGCATAAACACCACCAACAACGTCAGCCTGGAGATCAAGCGAAGAATAACTCTTGCCAACAGGTGCTACTTTGGGCTCGGTAGGCAATTGAAAAGCAGAGCCCTCTCTCGACGAACGA